TATATATATATATATATATTGATATATATATAATGCAAGTATTATTATACCTTTTGATGATAAAGACTAAAAATTGCGGATGTAAACGTAATAAAGATGCCTCCTGTAAAACCTGGAGCCGTTTCTAGATTGTCGATTAGCACGTTGTAAAACAAATAGCTATAAGCAAACCAGACTGTCAAAAAATATAGAACATATAAATATCCAATCCATTGATTTTTTGGTTTTGATTGTTTAATGGGGTATATACGTAAACCCACAATAAAACACAGAATAAAAAGAGGTCTAAAGGCCTGTTGAATAGTGATCATCATAACAATTACTATCTTAAACTAGTATGGACTGATACTTCTATAAATTCACTTGAGGAGCGCGTGATAATTGGATTGACTCATAGTGGTAATGGAATTGTAATGAGTTTTGTTAGTCGCACTTATGCATATTAACAAAATCGACTTGCTTGACAAACAAAGAAAATGATTAATCAGTAAATCTGTTATGTTATAATTTATGAAGATAATACTGTTAATTTATGTTTTATATATTTAGATAGTTAATACATTTAATGTTGTTTTTATCATTACAAGACAAACAAGCGCGTGCTACACGCGCCATTGATTCTCTTAATTACAAAGAAATAAAATATGTACAACTGTCAAAAACTTCACAATGACAGCCGCTCACGGTATAACGATATAACGATATCACGATATAAACTGCACCGAAAAAATCAAACAGCATCGCGAAAAAACGATAACGATGAACTTCGATACTATTGAGACATCAGATAACAGGCATTTTTTAAAAGTGGACTGTTCTATACAACGCAGAAAACGAAAAGAGGGAATTGCAGTAAAAAAGAAATGGAAATTGATATAAAGTATATAAATTTATTACGCCTAAAATAGATATGCATACCACATTTTCTCATATGTTACATATGTTGGTGTTACTTTGGTTATTTTTCTTTAAAATTTCCGGCACTTGTATTTGGTGATAGAGTGTTAGACATCTGCACTACAATCATCACTAATGTTGAGACTTTTATAAAAAACTAAAAAGGAATTAGTATATTAAATTTTTGCGCGGAGCGATAATTTTAATATAAGACAATTGAAAATATTTTAGCATAGTATTTCTATTTTTATTAATTTACATTCATATAACACAATAACATTGTATAATAAAGAAAAATAATACAAAATAAAGTTAAACTATATAACGAAAAGAATATGATAAAAAAGAAGATGACATTTTATAATTTATGCAATATTATAAAAGTGAAGAAGTTGTAATTTAAAGATTTAAATAAGGAAACCAACTTTTTGTAGAAAGCCGTTACCAAAGTAAAAGAGATTCAGCCCAGTAAATTTTAATGGATGGTGTATTGTTTGCAATATAAATTGATGAATCTGCGCACACAAAATTGCTATATATTTAAGGTTTAAGTTTCAATTTAAGTTACTCATTATTAAAACTTTTTTACCTCTTCACGAACATCAGCATATCGAAGGGAATCAGATAAATAGTGAATAATTCTTTTTATTCTATTAGCCTAAAATCAATAATTCATTATTAAAGAAATATATATATTTTTGGAAATTACATTAAGAGTTTACCTTTTCACTGACATTTTCACAAATGTAATTTAATCCAAAAATTCTAACTACATATATCCAAATCCAAACTTGGAAATCGATTCCACCAATTGATGTAAGCAAATGATGATCTTCTATTTTTACATTTATGAAAAAATAAGAAATTAATCTTGTCAGATGTATCAGATGAGCTAGCATTTCCAAAGTGATTTGTATTCCAAACATTGCGTTTAATTCTCGTGCGATTTGACATAACTCCAGATGAAGATGCCTATCAAAAAATAAAATTTGTGAATAAGGTTATAGGAAAACACGTAAAAAAACAAAAATTACCTATATTTTAATCAATTAAATCTTAGATAAATTTTTTAAATAAAATTTTATTAATCAATTATATTCAAATAAATGATCTATTCAACATGATTTACATGGAAGTCCACAGCACGCATTTGTAATTGCCAGTATATGTAATACATAGACGTGTTATCGGTGTGACTGTTCTCCATGCACGTCTCAATCCACGTTTTTTTTTTATTAGTAAACATCTCATGTGTTCATTTACGTTATCAAATTTAGTGCCAATGTACCTGTCGCGAAGCAAAAACAATTATACAATCTCAAAATATGTAAAAAAAAATTATTAGAAAATAATTTAAAAAAATTAAATAATTAAAATATATACAAATTTGTTATAATACTTATTTTAATTTATATGAACAGCTTTTTTCATTATACATGCACGCGCATGAGTGTCTATGAAATATTAATTAGTATTAATTAAAAAAAAAGATTTCAAAATAAATTCAATATTCTGATTTTAATATACAAACCATAAAAAAGTGACAAATAATAAATCCACAAACATGTTGACGTAATAATAATGATTTACAACGTAAGGTATAATCACGCTTCGTCAATCCTTTATTATGTACCACCACCATATTATGTCACACGCACTTATACTGTGACTACACACTAACCATCCAATTAATATTCTTTTTGCGTACACGTGTAGCTTGTGATATATCTTTGGAGTACCTAATTCTTCCAGTGTATCGTTTACAAGCTCAAGTCTTTTTATAAATTTACGAAATTTCTAAAAAATGTTATATACAATAATAATAGAGAATATGTCTATTTTTACAATGTCAAATATCATTGTACATAAAGACAATTCTTAATAATTACTTTCTTATGAAAACTATTATATTTTAATCATTTATAAATTAATCCAAGTATCGGACATGTTTTATACCTTGTCTTGATATACACTTAGGATAATAGATGCAATGCTGGTGAAAATGCTAATATGCAGATTGGCCAAATAAACAGGTGATAGAAACCAATTTTGTACTTTAAGCGCGGTCACTGTGTAATAAAACAAGCAGCTATAAGCAGTCCACACTGTCAAATTATATAAAATACTTAAATAAAGTTTCTGCGAGGAATATACACCTAAACCCAGAACGGATAAGGTTATGAGCAAAGGATATACAGCTTGTTCTACAGTGGTTGCCATAGTCAATACCCTTGCGATTTCGCCCGCAAACTAACATTACATGTCTATTCAAACTGATGTCACATGTTTATTCAGATAACACATAACTCATTTATCAAAATGACTTAGAATATTGCGCAATTGCTATAATGCGATAACACCGCGATGCATCATTTAACTCCTTCTCTAAACACAGTAATCGATCGATGTCGTTAGGTCGTATTAACTTCAATGATTGGCAGTTTTCAGCTTACGGACAGCCATCAAATATTGACTTGATATTAAAAGTATATGACAGATGAAAAAAGCTTTGATACTTTTTTAGTGAACAAATTAAACTAGATTTGATAACTTTCGAGTTTATATGATGAACAATATGAATTTATTTTGCAAATAATATGTAAATGCATTATGTAATCAATCAATCAATATATATGTATTGAAAAAATTTTTATTTAAAATATGTGTACATGTAATAAATAACGGAGAAGAATTAATATACAATAACACTAAAAGGTAATGTAGCAATTATTTACATATGCTAAATATTTATAGCCATTATTAAATCTAATTCGTGTAACAATTGAGTGTATACTAACAAAAAATAAAATAAAGAGACTCTAGAAAATATCACATTTGCATTTCTTTTCTTATTAATTATAATGTGTTTTATTATTAATGGGAAAAATTATTATTCGAGATATCGGAGAAGAATCCATTTGCATCATAAAAATAACGGCAGTAAGAATCCAGACGAAGAACTGAAAACAAAATAAATTATAAATATTGCTATCCAAAATTTTGCTGCTTATTAAATTATTTCTAATTTTTGATTGCATTATGCTGATACAGGCAGTTAAATGAAATTAAACACTAACCTCACGAATAAATTTATAGCCAAAATAAAATAAGCCTAATCCACTAAACTTCAACGGTCGCAGTGTTATTTGTAGTACAAATTGATAAACCTGCATTATAATATGATTATTAACTAAATATACTTAACAAAACCTATTAAATAGAATTTTGAAAAACTTTGTCTCACCTCATCATGTGCTTCGGCAAAATGGATAAAATTCGTTAATTTATGAATTAGTTTCTTAGTTTCTTGCGCCTAAAATATATAGAATTAACTATATTGAATATGATTTTTATATTTATAATAATTGCATTGTTTTTTATAATTATAGATAAATATGTTTCGGGGAGAAAAAATTCTTAAATCTTTTATTCTGAACTTAAGAAAATCGTTGAAAATTTTTTAACATTATTTAAAAAAAAATATTGTGTCGTAACATATCGAGTAATTGTGTTTGTATAAACAATTGTTTTTAATAAAATTTACCGAAAGTAAATTTATCTTACCTTGGCACTCACATTTTCGCAGATATGATTCAGTAATATGAGTTTTGTTAAGAATATAATGAACCATACGTCAGCGCTAAATACAGATATTATTTCACTGGAACCGCCTCCATATATCTGTATTAGATGTAATATATTTTTATATTTAAAATAACACATTCCAGTCATAAGCACAAAATAGGATACCATCTGCAAAGTCATTTGTATTCCGAATAAACTATTTATGTCATCAGCTATTCGGCAAAGTTCCGAATGAAGATGCCTAGAAAAATGTTATATTAATAAATAAAAGAAACTTGTTAAGTTTTGTAAATATAATTATTGATTTATTGTTTTATCTAAACACACTAAATGCTTGTAACATTGTTTATATTATTTTAAAGCCAAAATTTTGATTTAATAATGCGATTATATTAGCGGATAATTATACTGACTTGTTAATCATAATTCTACTTATAATATAAGTAATAAAAAAAAACATGAAGCAATCTTAAATTAGCATTAATTTACATTGATGTAAAAACATTCTAAAAAATTTTTACTTAATTGAATAATTTTATAAATATTTAAAAAATGTTATTTTAATTCTTAAAGCAAATTGAAACATTGTAAAATGACAGATTTAATGAATTTTAATACAATAAAATATTGTCACAAATTAACATAATTAACATAAAAATTTTAAAGTCATATTAAAATATAATAAAAGCAATGTTTATGCATTTGATTCATAATATTATTACTTTTTTAAACATTTTTTATGTCATTTTAATATTATATACATATACAATATAAATTTACATTGTGATCCATAGCATACTTCTGCCGTTTTTCGTACTCTGGACATAGCGGCGAATGACAAATAAAGATTTTTTCCACGAGCATTTCAATTTACAGTTGTCAATTTCGGATAACTGTTCAATATGCTCGTTTATTTTATCCAGTTTAAATCCGACGTACCTATGATTAATAAAACAAGTGTATTAAATTTTTTATGCACACACGCAATGCACGCAATGCACACATGCAATGTACTAAAACAAAGGCCAATTTGTTGTTTTACTATCAATTTCTTTCTTTTCACTTAAAAATTTATACATTACTTTTAAACTTTTATAACTTAGAAAATTTAGATTTAATATTTAATTATAAAAGATATTTATATTATTTGCCATATATAGAATGTTTCAATTTTTAATGCTTGTTTCAAATATATTAAAGAAACATTTTTGAAGCAAATGTTTTAGATATTTACATATTTTAGATATTTTACATATTTACAAACCTTAAAACAAAGGCAAATATTATATCCATGCAGGTATTGGTGTGTATAGAATAATGCAGAATAATAGGAATAACTATGGCTCTTATATCATTATATACTTTTATGTACGATAAACCATCGATAATCGATGTCATGCCAATTATTATAAACCATATAATTAATATCCGTTTGATCGAGTCTCGCATTTTACAATATTCTTTAGGCGTTCCGAGTTCTTCTAATGTTTCATCCACAAAACTGAGTTTCTTTACACATAGAAGCATTTTCTGAAGATATAATTATTCAAATTCTTTAAAATACATACAATTATAAACGCTTTTTTTGAAAAAATATATTTGTAACAGTACTTTCGAAAAATATAGTACTAAATTATAATAAAATTTGTTCTAAAATAAAAGTTAAAAAATACAAAATTTTGATTTATATAAATATAAAATAGATTTACTTAACATTTAAATAAAATATAACAATTTTAAATAAATAAAGCAGAAGTCCTAATTAGATAATAATATTGTATACTATTTACTTTGTTTTGGATATTATTTCTAGATTAACATCTCCAAAGAGGAAAAATGTACCTTATATTTGCCAATGGATATAAATATAGATATTATTGCGACAAACAAATTTATTATTATCATGAAAATCTTTACTAAGTTGCCAAATATATTTTCCGGCGTAAAGAACATCACCATATAATGAAAGACGCAGGCATAAACACTCCATATAATAAACATGTAAAAAATATTTAGACGCCGTCTCAGATCATTTGAAGAATCATGTTGTGTAAAAATCCCGAAACCAAAGATAAACGAGACTAACGAAAAAGGATATAAGGCTTTTTCAATAGTGTCCACCATTATAATCGTAACTCTCGCAATTTTATACGCTAACTATTAGACCCTCAGTTGAAAGTTAAAAGTTATATGACATATACGCCACATGTCACGTTTATTACGATAATGGCGTAATTCTTGATTAGATCGTCGCATTAACATTGTCAAGTCATTAAGCAAGAACATAAATATACGCAGTTGTAATAATTGATCCTGCAAAGTATTTGCTGTTTTTTTAACTGCGTTTTGTTCACTTTCTGTGTAAGTACTTATTGTAAATTTATCTACGTTTTACAAACTGCTAAAGATAAAAAGACATTAAATTTATATTTTATTATAAAATAGATAGGATAATACGTCGCAGATAAGATAAATTAATATATAATATTAAAACATTATGATACATTTATTTAGATACATTACGATACATTTATTTCCGGTTAATTTTTGCAATAGTTAGAAAGATGATTATCAACTAATGAGTAAGAAAAATGCAAGAAATTTTACAACTTACATTTGTTTATTAATTATAACGTGTCACATTATTATATCTTTCGGAAAGTATTGTTCGAAATGTAGGAAAACTATCCATTTGCACAATAAAAATAATAACAGTAACAGCCCAGGCAAAGAACTGAAAACAAACATTAAATATAAATATTGTCACATAAAATTATGTTGTTTAATCAAACATTTTTAGATTACAGTTTATTATGTTCATACAATAGATAATATTACAAATTTACCTTATAAATGAAATTATAGCCAAAGTAGAATAAGCCCATTCCGTTAAATTTCAATGGCCGAAGAGATATATGTAGAACAAATTGACAAATCTGCATTAAAACATAATTATTATTGATAGTTGCATAATAAAATGCTGCTTTGAATTAAAAAATTGTTACAATAAATATAGCTTACCTCTTTACGTCTTTCGGCAAAACAAATAATATTTGTCAATTTATGGATCAAACTTTTAGTTTTCTGCGCCTAAAATATATAAATTTTAATTCTACTTAAAATCAGCTATCTTTTTTATATTTACATATATAATAAAATTGTATTATTTATAATAATTGTAAATAAATATTTATCTAAACAAGTGTATATTTTTTATGAATAAAAATTGCTAACTTGTTTATTTTTTAAGAAATTTTACAACATTATTTTGTAGAACTTTTATTTGTAAAAACAGTTTTTCTTTATAATTTATTAAAAATTAATTTACCTTGGTACTGACGCTTTCGCAAATATGATTTAATGATATCAGTTTTGTTAACAGTATAATGAACCACATTCCGCCGGAAAGCATAGTTTTTAATATAGTTGCACCGGTTCTGTATAATTGACGTATTGCATTGTATTGAATGTAAGACAATACTATGCAAAGTACGAAATAGGATGCCATCTGTAGAGTCATTTGTATTCCAAATAAACTATTTATATCCTGAGCTATTCGACAAAGTTCAAAATGAAGATGTCTAAAAAGATATTATATATTAATACACGAATAAACTTCTTCAATAATCGGAATTATTGAATATGTTTTGTTACTTTTAGATTATTTTATATACATATATATATATATATATATATATATATATATATATATATATACATACATACAATGTTTGCTCCTTTTATTATTTTACATATTAATAATGAATTATTAAAACAAATTAGCAATTGATTACAAATGTTTATATAATTAAATTACGTCATATATTTTAAATCGCATGATCAATTTGATATTCTAAATCTTATTTTCTCCTGTTAATAATCAAAGTAAAATTTATTTATTTAAATTGCTCTGACAGATCATTGCCACACGTGCATATACAAGTATTATTTAATATATAATCATTAACTTCAGTTAATAAAAACATTCTTTTTTTTTGTCTCCAATTTTTTCATATCATCTTAGCACATGCTAATTTACATTGCGGTCCACAATACATGTTCCTCCGTGCTTCGGACATAAGGAGTGACAATAAGAGCTTCTGTCCATGTACATCTTAATCCATACTTTTCAATTTTTGAAATGCGTTCAATATGCTCGTTTATTTCATCTAATTTAGTACCGATATATCTGTAATTTCAAAAACATTTAATAAGTAGCAATTATTAAATTTTTTTGCAAACACTTGTGATATATTAAAAAGTGGCTAAGTTGGCTAAGTTATAAGTCTCCTATGTTTCACACAAATTTCTATAATTTTTATTTATAAAAAATAAGCTCAAAAGAGCTCAAGAGAGAATTCAGAGAAAACTCAAAATATTGTTAAGCTTAATTATCTAGACTTTAATAATGTTTATTATTAATAATTTTAATATAAAACAAAATTTACAAACCTTAAAATAAACACAAACATTATATCCATATAGGTGTTGATATATATAGGATAACCCAAAGCGATAGGTAAAATTGTAGCCCTTGTATCATTAGTTATATCTACGCATGCTAAAGAATCAGCAGCCCATGTTGTGCAAATCATTATAAACCATATAGTCAATGTCCATTTTAACGTGTGTCTAAAATAAAATGTAGACATACTACGATATTTTTTGGAGATTTCGAGTTCTTTTAATGTATTGTCCACAAAACCAAGTTTTCTTATACAAGTGTGAAATTTCTGAAAATAACCACAACCGTTAAGGAATTATGTATAAAATCGTTAACTATCTTTTTTAGAAAAATATATAAGAAACGCATAATAGTAAGAATTAGAAGATAAAAATTCGTGTTTTACATGGATAAAATATTTACTTAAGTTGAAATTAACTTTTACAGAAATAAATAAAAACAAAAATAAATCTAAATCACACTGAAGGAATCTAAATTACACTACTTAATTATTAATAAATATTGTAAAGGAAAATATACCTTGTGTTTGCATATGGTCGTGATGATAGCTATCATCGTCACAAGCAAATTTACGAATAGTAAGAACAATTGAAGAAAATTATACACCATACGTGGAAAGGTTATTGTCATATAATAAAGCACCCAGGCATATACACACCACACAGTTAATATATAAAAAATACTTAGACACAATCTTGGACGATCGAAAGGATGT